TAGCTAGAGTGTCTGACACGTGTCCACTGCGTGTCTGAAGCATGTCTGTGTTCGACACATGTCGGCTTCATAGTAATTATATAATTTTCTCAAAATTGTACAGAGATGCAGTGACTATCAAACCCAACCTGTTAAATCTATTATGTGAGCAATGATTTTACCCAAATTCACAATGAATGCTATTATACAAGTGAATGAACCACAAATTTTCTCTTAAAATGGTATTATTGAAAACAAAGGAACTCAAAAAGTCCAACATCAATTTTGACAACTTTACGGTGTAGTAACAACTTATAGCTCAGAAGTTAGTAATACTATTTAGCTTCACATGCAGTCATAATAATAGCAAGGCTTTTTCCAAAAGCATATTTTCTTCCCAATTAAAGAAACGTGGGAATGCTGTTTGAATTAAAATTAATTAAAATCAACTAGGGCTTATTTTATAGCCATTGTTTAGGCCTTGATTTTGTTTCCTTTTTACATTATTTCCTCTTGTAAATCTCTATCAGTATATATACACAGGCTAGTCTCCATTTTAGACTAAGCCATTCAATTCTGCCATTCTTCTTGGTATCAGAGCCAAACCCTAACCCTTTTCTCTCTACTTCCATCTCAGCCGTTTGACTTCCACCCTTGCCCAAGCCCAAGCCCAAGCCCAAGCCCAAGCCCTTAGCCAGCCACCACTAGGCTCCGACAGCCCCTCTCTCTCTGTCTCTCTCTCTCTCTCTCCTGGCCCTTACCCATCCCTCTACTCACCAGTCAACCCTTCTTCTTCCTTGGTCTATCACCTTAGTTGCAACCGACAACCATCCCTAGGCTATTCAGCAGTCCTATTTCCAGCCGACAGCCCTTCTAGGGCAATTCAGCAGGTTTTGTCCCTATTTTAGGACTTGGTGTTGATGTTGTAAGCATTTTTTTTCTTCGTTATTTTTGTTAATGGACTACCAGGTTATTCGGTAGCAATTGTTCTGTGATTTGTGTATAATTCTAGATTGTTAGCTATACACATCACCTATTTCTGTAGCCACCATAACTAAGGGGTTGTTTGGGATGATCTAAATAAGTGCACTTTTTTACTTTTTATGAAATATGGGTTGGGTTTGAAGTTCAGCTTAAGCTGATTTCCAGCTTATTCTTAAAGCATCTCCTGCCCCACTCAAAGAATAAGCTGATTTCTGACTTCCACAAAGTTATAAATTATAAGCTATAAGCTAAACCAAACACATCAAAATAGCTTAAATTAAGCTGAAAGCTGAAATAAGCTGTAAATAATTTCTGCCAAACAGGCACATTGTTCTGTGATTTGTGTATAGTTCTAGATTGTTAGCTATACACATCACCTGTTTCTGTAGCCACCATAACTAAGGGGTTGTTTGGGATGATCTAAATAAGTGCACTTTTTTACTTTTTATGAAATATGGGTTGGGTTTGAAGTGATGTGGTAGAAAAGTGATGTGACTTAAATAAGATGATGCGACTTAAATAGGATAGTGACTTTTTGATTTTTTGACTTTTTTAGTTTATGCCAAACAAGGCCTAAGTCTGATATTTCTCCTATGGTTCCTGTTAGACTCGTTCCAGCGAATCCAGATTTTTCCCTCTCACACCATACTCCGGTTCATCATATTACAAGTGTGTGAATGAGAAATTTCGCTGCCTGGAGTCGTTCCCTTAAACTCATTTGGGGGGAAAGGAGAAAACTTGTTGGCTTTCATCTACCACTACCCAATCGGATGCTATAGATTCTACAAGTGGTCAATGGGATATTGACAATTTATCTTGGGATGGATGTTCAATTTTGTGGAGGACCGAATTTATCATATATTCTTATATCGTGATACCGTTCCTAGTTTATGGCACACCTTATCTCAGATGTATGCTCATGCTCATAATGAAGTTCGTATCTTTGAGCTTTATCAGGATATTGCTCGTGCTTCTCAGTCTGCTTTGGATATTTTTGTGGCTGAATTTTTTGGGAATTTTTAGGCACAATGGAACGAGTGGCTCAATATATGAGCCTTTAACTAATCTTGGTTGCTGCTTCACTTGTGACCAAGAGACTTGCTCAACAACATACATATCATTTCTTGATGGGTTTAAAATCTGAGTTCGAGTCTCTTTGTATTCAAATTTTAAACACATCTCCTCTACCTTCCCTTTTTGAGGCCTTTGCTATTATTGATAGCGATGAGCGCCGCCGTCAATTGGTTCCACCTGTTTCTACTCCAATCCCTGAGCCTCCTGTCTTCTCTGAGCAGATGGGTCTTGTTGCACAGACTGGGTCTCGTTCTTCCATTGGGAAGGTAATTTGTCATCATTGTGGAGTACTAGGCCATGTCAAGGCTCACTGTTTCAAACTCCACCCTGAGTTGAGACAACGTTTCTCACGTGCTCATCCATCTAACTCCTCTCATACTGCTTTGTGGGGACTGTCCCGAGTTCCACTACTCCAGATTTGCATCTCCTTCATATTCAGATTGGTTAACTTCAGGCTCAACTTGGTTCTATGATATCTTCAAGGCCATCATCCTCGACTGCCACTTTGGCTACAAGTACTCTTACTACTTTCCATGTTCGCTCTGTACGTCATACTTGGGTTCTAGATTTTGGGGCTAATGACTACATAACCGGTGAGCTTTCCTATCTCTTTTCTCCAGTTGTTGCTACCACCCAAACTATTTGTCTTGCTAACGGTTTTGCTACCTCTGTTCGTCATCAGGGTAGTGTTACTCTATCTCCTGATATTACTCTTTCTTCTGTCCTACATGTCCCTAATTTTGCATATAACCTTATCCGTGAGTCGGCTTGCCAAGGCTTTTCATTGTGTTGTCATTTTCTTTCCCGATTCTTGCTCATTATGGGACCTAAATTCGAAGCAGATTTTTGACAGGGGATATGAGTGTGACGGTTTATACTACTTTGAAGATCCACCAGATCAGCTGCTTCTTTTTAGCTTTTTTTGC